AAAAAAGGGGGCATTACTATTAGCAGACATAATGTAGTGGGGGCACGGGGAGGGCTGTATAACACAGGGAAGACAAGTAGTGATTCTATAGCGTCTTAACTACGCTGATGAACAGTGACTGTAATGGGGTATGTCGGGGGGACTTGGTGATGGGGGGAGTCTAGTAAATATAATGTCCCTTATGTAATTGTAGATTAATGATACCAAAATTAAAAAATAAAAATAAGATATCAAGCTCCAATATTCCTGGCTTCCTTGTTCTAATTGTAGCAGTGCACATGAATGGGACCAGTGCCACATGGATAGAAACAGAGAACAATTACCATTCTCTTGCCCAAAGGAGGACCAAAAACTCCTTTTCTTCTTTTGTCCAATTTTGACATGATAATATTCTGAGTTTGAGCTGCTGTAGTTTGTGCTGAGAAGTTGATTAGCAGAGGCTTGTAGATTTCCTTATTGAGTTGACTTAAAAGAAAATTCTGATAACATAAATTTAAAAATGAGATATTGTTGGAATTATGTTTTGACATTTCAAAATAAATACTAAGCATCATAGCTGACAACACTCACATTTACCTTAGAGTCCCATAACAATGCAAATAGCTATAACAATTACTACATCAGTGAAGTGTCTCTATTTGGGCAGGCCCTGTGATCTCCAAAACCACCACACAGAGTATACATTCCTTCTTAACACAGGTCATTGGGTCTGGGAAGCTGAGAAAGTTGCTTAAAGTCCCAGGGATGGGGCAAGAATTCAGATTGCCATTTGCCTCTCCAGATCAATATTCTTTTTAATATGGCTTATTATCTTTCCACTTAAATACCAAGTTATCTGACTTTTAGTTGGGAAGCTTAAATAATATAATTGCATTTTTAAAATGGAATTTGCCAGAAACCAGATACAATTAAACATCTTAATCAAGATGTTGTATACAACAAATCATTTTTTAGAATGAAGAACTAGGAAGATATTAATAACATATTAAGTAGAAAAAAGCAGATGATAAAATAAAATACAAAATATGTTCCAAATTTTGTGAAAAGTAATGTTTTTTTTTTGCCTGAATAGTTTATTACCTGGGCTGAATTTGACAAATGACAAAAGACTATTTTTTCTCTAACTACTGCCCTTAAACCATGTCAAATCTCCATTCTGACTCTTGATGGTATCTTGGGTAAACCCCTTAGCTTTCTTCTCTTTTTTAAAAAATCCAGGCCAAATCAACACCTTCACATAAAATCTCGGTGTATACTTCCCCCCTCCTGCTCTCGGGCCATTCCTGATACAGACAGCATTTAGGTGTGATAAATGATAAAGGTGTCATTTCAATCTGTTGTGAGAGATGTAGTAACTCAGTGATGCTAGGGAAATTACTTAACTATACACCCAAATGACTAAAGGACTAAATTAAAATATAAAACCAATAAAGAACTAGAAATAGGCACTGTCATGTGAATTGACTGGGAACCTGCCATGGGAGACGGAGCATGGATGGCTCCTTGGCTCTCTTCTACCTGCTTCCCCACCTCCCTCCTGTCCAGTGGTTGGGTAGGGCAGAGCTTAGGGGAAGAGGCAAAGGCCCTACTTTCCGGGCACCAGGGTGGTGCTCTCTGGGCTAGTACTGCCTTGCCTGCTGTCCTGGCCAGCTTCCAAATGCCTGCTCTCCAAGAGGAGCAGATATGCAGGTCCCTTGGGTGCTCCAAAGGGACACTGTGCCATACAGTCCCCTACAGAAGGGCACTAATGGGCCTACCTCAGTCCTCACCCACACAGGAGTCCCAGGAGAGCTCAAGGCCACTTATCCTCCACATTGTCCATTTGGCCCTGGGGAAGCTTACACATTTTTTGCCATGACAAAGGCTGGGGGTGCTACTTACTATTAGTTTCAGCCATCTTTCTGCCTTTAGAAATCTGAAACTAGAGGCAAGAATCAGTCCTTGATCAACATGGCCCCCTAAACTCAAGGGAACACAGGCTGGGTAAAGCTCCTGAGATTTGGGGCATTATCTGTCACAGCAGCTAACAATTTCCTAACTAGCATACAGCGTGTATTTTCCAGAAATTGTTAAAGAAAATCAGTCTTATTAATACATAATAGTCATTCAGTATTAAATATTTTAGAAAATTAAATATCAAGAGTAATTAACTAAAACACTCTTTTCAAGAGAAATTCTTCATTCTGAACAAGCTATTTTTATCAAAATACCTTTAAAAATGGGACAATGATTTAGTGATATAAAATGGCATATCTATAATCAATTTTCTAAAATAGGTAATTATTCAAAATTTACTATGGCTCTAAAACCAAATACTCGAGTATTTAAAGAATATTAGGTCTCCTATTTCAGGTAGTTCAAAATATAACATTCTTAGGAATATAATTCACATTTAATATGTAGATTTCTATAATACTTACAATAATATAAACACTTTTTCCAGTTCCTGTTGGTCCTACAAATACTGAAGGCTTCTGATGGGTGGTCAACAATTCCATTAGTGCAGAATATCGAATTGTGTCCAGAGTTGGTACAATGATTTCATTAAACATCACATCCTTAGGAATTGGAGGAGCATCTGCCAATTTCTTTATCCATGGTTCCCATTTACCTATTCCCTATTTATAATAAACAGCCAAATTTGAATGTTATATTATAAAATACTTTTAAAAGCTCCTTTGTCCTGTGCTATTGTAGAAAATGTCAAAGACCAAGACCAAAATACTGATATTTATACCTTTGTTTTTATTCTTTAAAATACTTCCCCCTGAGTTTGAAAGTTAAAATTTAATGTTAAAATAAGGAGACTCTAGGCTTTTACATGAATAAAAATGAAATGGCAATGCTGTAATATTTTTTATCCCAGGGAACCACTGATGCTGTCAACTTAAAGATCAATTATTTAGGTCAAATGTTAGATTCTTTAATGGCATTGAGAAAATTGGATTAGTTAATGTGTTTAAGAATAAGGAATTTTATTCAATAAATATTAACCAGTATAGAAATTTTTTCTACCTAGAACATGAGCTACATATTGCTTAACTTTTTTTAAAGTTCATTTTATTATCATTAATCTACAATTACATGAAGAAGATTATGGTTACTAGATTCCCCCCCTTCACCAAGTACCCCTCCACAAAACCCATTACAATCACTGTTCATCAGTGTAGTAAGATGCTGTAGACTCAATACTTGTCTTCTCTGTGTTGCACATCCCTCTCTATGCTCCTCCCCCCACATTATACATGCTAATCATAATGCCCCCTTTCTTTTTCCCTGCCCTTATCCCTCCCTTCCTACCCCTCCTGCCCAGTCCCTTTCTCTTTGGTAACTGTTAGTCCATTCCTGGGTTCTGTGATTCTGCTGCTGTTTTGTTCCTTCAGTTTTTCTTTGCTCTTATACTCTACATATGAGTGAAAT